CCCCAAAACCCCAAAACCCCAAAACCCCTCAGGTCCAATTTTAATTGAAATTATTTTGCTAATTGATAAATTAATTTGTAAATTTAGTATGGAGTTCGTTGGACATCACACAAGCACTAACAGTAATAAACAAATAATTAGTAACTCAAGAAGCAGATTTTAAGGTCTAAGGAGGGAATCTTAGCCTTAGAGATCACTGCTTGAGCTTCCTGCTTTACACAGTTTTACAATACACTTGATTGAAACTAATTAGATCATATAGAGAAAGAGAAGTTTATTGACGCTAGGCTACAAAGAGCCAAGATAAAATGCCTTGAGTTTTTTAATAGGCACTCAAATACATTTATTGATTCTGAAAATGTCTATCCTGGTCCAAGCCAGGACTATATGAAAGCTGTAAACAAACTAGAAAATCTTTCCAAGAAGAGAGAGGTTTACACAAGAATTGCTGACAAGTGTAATTTTATAGTCTTTATTCTTATAGATGCTAACAGCACCATTGCTGATGAGGAAGACCTTAAATATAATTATAAGAGATATGAGAGATCTAATTTGGAAACCAAGAAATATGTTGATACCAAACTTCATCCCTCTAGTAATAGAGCATCATGTGAAAGGACCTATGGACAATCTCAATATAGCTCAATACTCAAACAAAGGAATAGCTCTTTTGTTCGAGATTTATCAAAGCGTAGTGTACCTTCTTCAGCTCTTGGAATTCGGTCTCATGCTGTTTCTCCAGCATCAAGCTCTCCTATCCATCTGCAATCTTCTTCAAAAAAGGACATACATAGTCCTTCATCTGAGTACAAAGGAATGAAACTGTCGAATGTCTCGCAGCTTCTGGTTAGCATGAAGAAACAGAGCCATAAAGACAAATAAGGAAATCAAGAGACTGAAGAAAGAAATTCTCTCTAAAAGCAAAAAGTTAGCCAAACTTGAAGCAGTATTTGAGGAATCTCAGGACAAATGGGGATCTGAACATGCCTCAATGTATAACAAAATTGCTGAATTGCAGAAAATCGTTAACTCTAAAGGTAGAACCCTTCTTTAATTAATAGATACCATCATCGAAGGCTTAGAAGTCAAGATGTCCCAAGAGCAAGAGTTGTTTAACAAAGAAATAGAAGAACTCACCCAAAACTTTGAAGTTAAAATTCAGGACCTTAAGAAAGACAAGCATGCGAGAATAAAAGATCTTGGAAGCCAGATAAATATGGAGAAGGAGACCTGAGAGCTTTACAAGGACAAACTTAAGCAACTCAGCACCTATGTTAAGACTGCCAAGGAATTGCTTCAGTACAAGAATGACACCAACTTAGGTGAGTATCTTTTCTGATAATATTTAGATAAATATTTAGCAAGCAAGGAGGTTAATAAAGACTCAACCTTTGAAGAGGAGAACTTACTGAAGCCAATCAGCGACCATGAGTTTGACGTCAGTCAGAACATGTTTAGTATGGAGCAGAAGTATGACCAAGATGTAAAGATTAATAGAGCGGCTGAGCTTAGCAATAATCTCACTCAACTTGAAGCAGAGATGTATAAGAATGAAGTCTGACAATTGAAGAATGAAATAGTTGCACTGGCCAGAGATACTAAAATTATGATCCAGGTAAGGAATCCTTAGGGAAGTTTAATGCTTTAGGTCATCGACAAGGTCCTTCCTAGAGAAAACGCCGATCCTATTGATAACTTGCTTGATTTTGGAAAGGAAAAAGGTAAAATGAGCATTGAAGAAGAACTTGACCAAATCCTTATGGATGAAAATGATAAATCTGAAATTTCTATCAGTAAAGCAGTCCAAGAAGTCCGAATGATCAGGAAGAACATCATAAATTTGAAGAATATGGGGTATTCTATTATATAAGGTAAGACCACTTATAATATATTTCAAAAGCCATAAAGATACTTAAATCTGATTAATAAGTTGAGAGCTTTCCTAACTTTATTGGACCAGTGCTACTTTCTGCCAATTTACACATATAAGAATTATTAATAAACTTTGATATGATAAGGATCTCTTTTTCGACAAATCTCACCCCTTCGACAGGACTATCCTTCACTTAACTTCCTCGAGTTGTAGCTATGGTCTAACCTTGTGTGATGTATAGATGTTAGCTTGGTGACACAAAGTATCATATTGGAAGGAAGATCCTTGCCATAAAGACTAAATCATCTAAATGTCAGTGATAAGTTTGTTAATTCAATAATGCCTCCTTTAAGGGGTTTTGGGGTTTTGGGGTTTTGGGGTTTTGGGG